GGTAGATAAACATTTATGGCTTGGAAAAGAAGATCCAGTTCGACATGCAAATGGATCAATTACATGGTTCTCAAAACGAAACCAGAATTAGCTCCCCAGAAGCTAAATAAACATGGAAAAGAGTATTGGAAACTTTCTCCTGATGCAAATAAACCACATATTTCATCTGAGTATGTGAAAAAAGTTCAGGACTTGATGAATGATAAGGAGGATTATATTATTGGAATCGCCAATGATTGGGAAATGGGTAGAATGGAATTGCAAATACAAAATGATAATAATGGTACAATTACAGGCTCAAAAGAAGAGTGGATTCCGGGAGAGAAAGATAAGTGGGGTATGGAGCCTCATGGATGGTCACCATATATGATAGTATATTGTGAAGGAAAGATAAATATTAATAGACTTTTACGATTAGATCAGATTGAATAGTAAGGAAGTCCTCTTGCGTCACAACAAGATATTGAGGATGGGGCAAAAGAAAAATGGGAAGGACGGCCATATATATTGCGTTACTAATTTATGGCATGTTTACGTCAAAGCTTATTTGGTCCAAAAATTAATGAAGATAGAATAGTATATTGGCATACTCAATTGCCAATTCGTGTAAATTTCAAAATGGCATCAGAAATTAAGATTCTTCTTCATTATGCTACAGAATACACGCTTTTTACTAAAATCTGGATGGACAATGGAACAGTGGAAGAAGGAATTGCAGATAACGGCTGGCATTTTGGTAAGAAAAAGAAGGCTGGCAGTCTTACTGGAGAAGAAATTACACCAGGACAGCTTATGGGGATTGATGAATATTTATGGGAAAAGACTCGTGAATATGTATCACATATTTGTTATGAACTTCGGCCAGTTCCAATATCACAAGGTCCACTGGGTCCATTCTATAATGGCGATATAAACTGTATTGTTACAGAATTACAACGACAAATTGAGTAAGGAGGAACAAAGCGGGCTAAAGGGCTAACGCCAGCTTATGAAAGAGCCCTTGTAGAATTTAACGAAAAAGTTCTGAAACCAGGTTGTAATTTGAAGGACTTACATATTCTCGAAAAGGATGAAAAGAATGGGGGTTTAGGAATGAAAATTATCGTTAAAGATATCTTAGGCAATGAAATGTGGAATAGCAGTAAATATAAAAAACGTAGTATATTAACTGTATTTTGTTATAACAACTATGCTTGAACAGGGGGTATATTCGAAATGCCAAAAATATCTTCGATTTGTGGTATAGATTTAGAATGTGAAAGAGCACTTGCTTCCGCATGTACCAAAACTAAAGAAGGAAAGGTTAACATCGACGATAAAAAAATTGCAGAAGCACTTATATCATTTGTTGCCAGAGAACTCCCGAAAGCTACAAGGGTATGGATTATAGGTAAAGAAATTTTAACACATGAAGGTATTCTCTATCGTAGCTCTCATGAATGGGAAAAATTAATTAAGGCTTTCGAATATGAAAAATCACAATTCATACCGGAAGAACTTTTAAAATGGAGGCCGGTAGATATTCATGGATAGATGGAAGGAGGATATTATCATTCTTCAGCACCAATTCCTTCACAAGAGCTTAAAGCAGAATATAATGAACTTGAAAAATTCCTGGAAGGTGCTCAATCTTACCGATTTCGTTGCTGGCGAGAAAGAGAAGGTATCGAGCCAACACCCAGAAATGCTATTGAAATTTGGCAACAATCTCAAGTAGAATCAATGGTATGGAATGCTCCAATAAATCCAGCTCCAAAACACATCCATATTGATCTTCGTGGAGTATATCTTAGCTGTGAAGACTCAGAACGAAGTGCATCTGAAGCTTTGCCCTGGGTTCGACGATATGGATTTCCAAAACAAACACAGCGACGTGCCTGTGTTGAAAATATTGAAGCTATCCGTTGCTTGACTGGCGTTGTTCAGCTAGTGGCATGGGAATTTGCCAAAAATCTCCATCCGTTCACAGCAAGACTTATTGGACAACATCTCACAGAGAAGGAAGGGTAGATTCTGACACCTCTTATAGATTACCTGCTTAGTGCTAGATGGCTTATAAGTGCAACTCCAAGAGAAATCATATATAGTGTTGACAAAAAATCTCGCATTGAATTTCCATCTGATCGTGATTTAGCAGTTCGTTTCGTGGGATCATGTGCTCATAATGCACAAGTTACATCTGTTTTAATTCGAGACAAAAATGAGGCAGATATGATTCATCAATGATTAGCAAGAAAAAAGTGTCGACCAGTAATGAGCATAGAACCTTAATAAAGTATGAGGGGGATAAAAAACGTGTTCAATGGTTACATATCCGCTCTTTTATCCTTGCCTATACTCATATCGCTATACTCGAACAGCTGAAACGCTTCCCGATTGAAAATATATTGTGAGTATATACTGATGCAATTTACACAACAGCAATTCCTGAAACTATTTTAGATGAGAGTAAACTCAAGATCGATTTTGATGAAAGCCTTTATATTAATGCAAAAAATGATATAGAATTAGAGGAGGTTCATAAAAAATATAATGCAGAGATAAATAAAATAAAAAAGCAATATGAGTCTGTAATTGTTTTAGATACTCCAGAAATCAAATATGGTCAGTGGCGCAAGAAAAAGCCAGGATATATCTATCGTAAAGAAGCATCGTCCTGGACTATTAATCATAAAAGTTTGTTAGATTTTCTACCAAGCGAAGTACCACCTCTTTCTACTGATCAAAAACTAATTACATTGTGAAAACCCTACTTAATTGGCCAGGGAGATAGTGGAAAAACAACACAAGCTATCTGTGCATTCTCCAATTGAAAAATTGTGGTTCTTACTCCAGCGAACTTGCTTGCTGAGTATCATAGAAAACAAAATCCGGGATTAATCACTATGACGTATCATAAATATTTCCACTTGGGAGCAACTGCGATCGATGAATGGGATCCTGCATGTCTCGGAAAAAAGACGCTTGCTGAAATACTAATCTTCGATGAAGCATGCATGATACCTAGAAAAGTATTACAGAGATTGTTATCTTATGCCGAAAGCTGAGGCTGTCAAATAATTATGTGTGGCGACCTTGGCCAACTTACACCATGGGGTGACAAAGAAAGCCCGCATAAATTTTTTACAGAATGGGCTGACGAAGTAATCTGGTGTATGGAAGACTATCGTGTACAAGACGACGAACTCAAGGTATTAAAATTACGTATGTGGATGAAAAATGATCTTGCTCAATTACTAGAATTTCGTAAGGCTATACCTAAAACAACATGGGAAAATGCTCTCGCCCAGTGGACTCCAAATGACATCTGAATTTGTTCTACAAATGATATGGGTATGCGAGTTGAAAGTGCATTATTACAAGCACATGCATCGCACTTTTCCAATGAGCCTTCAGTTATTCGTTTCGATCTAGATGATAGTATCAAACATAAGTATCGTATTCAAGGAAAGCCTGTACAAATTCTGGGTAGCATTGAAATTATAGAAGCATATTTTGGTACTATAGTAAATGTGCTACTTGAAATCGTATTGCGCGGACTTCCTGCTGAATGGAAATATGCTGGCTGGGGAACAGTTCATCAAATTCAAGGACAAACAATTGAAGCTCCAGAACGTTGCTTTATTGTAGACCATAGTTTGAGAGGTTGGATTAATAACGCTGTATATACAGCTTGCAGTCGTGTACGATATATGAATCAATTAATTCGCGTTATACCGCCAAATGATATACTCGAATATATTGAGCTGACTGAGTTTCAAGTAACTCCTTGTCCACAAATCATTGAAGCGAAATTAAGACGTTACAAGTTAGATGACCGCAAAAAGAACTGACATTTTTCAAGGCCACTTATGATAGTTGAGGACTGGGAGGTAGACAATAAATCAGATTTAATGGAAGATTCTACAGTATGTGTTAAACCCCTCTTTCTAGCAGAAAACGATGAGGAAAATGCCATTCCTTCACTCACAGTAAAGGATGTTATAGAAATTGCAACTCGGCAAGATAAATGTTGTAAAGTATGTCGTGTTCCACTTCTATTCCAAGGCTATCCCAAACGCCATCCACAGTCATTTTCAGTTAATCGGCTTGATGATGCTGAAGGACATTATCGCCAAATGTAAGAATTACTTGCCTTCGTTGTAATGAACGACATTGACGTTAGAGATAGCAGAAAAAAGAGCAATGATGCTCAAGCTTAAACCACAATACCAGTAATCAAATAAACCTAGTTATTTCACCAAGTGAGCTGGACTTCGTGAAACTAGATCAATTATTAAGATTTTTTTCAAGAGTAATAAATATTCAATATATTGACTCAATGCTATAAGAAAAAGTACGTTGAATTTATCAAAGAATATAACATGTATACATATAACCCACTTATACTTCCAGATATCATCACTGAAATAGTTCAAAAACTTTCATTAGAGAATCTAGGTATAGTTTGTTGGATTAATTGAACTTGGTATAAAGAAATTCAACATGAACTCCGAAAAAGATGAGAGATACAAGTGTTAAAAGGTCATAAATTAAAGCTTGAAAAAGATGAGGAACTTCAAGGATATTTCGACGATGGTATAGAGCTTAAATATTACGTAAAGCTACTTGAAACCACTAAAGAACAAGTAGAGATTGAAAGGTGTATGCTTACCAATGGAATGCTTTATGGGCAAGAAAAGGAAATCATTAAATATAACATGCAACAGATTATAGATAATTTAATTCCTTGGAAAAATGTTTATGATGATTGGGATATTGAGGAATTATATACGAAATTTGACGGAATTTGTAACTACCTTGGCAATTCTATTAATTGATACATTAAGTGCTTTTGGCCATGTCAGCTCTGTTGATAATTTTATCTTATCAATCTTTT